TTTATAATATTAGTAAGATTGTTGCTCGCGACTTCTCCCGTGTGAAATTTAAATAAAGCCTGTTACTCCCTGATAACATAGCTTTTAATAGTGCAAGAATTGAAATCGGCCCAGTAGATTTTAACTATGGACATGTTATGCGACGAGACGATGGTGACATAAACCAGAAAGTGTTAATAAATGTGGATGGCTACAAAGATAGAGGAAGACCGAAGAAAGGATTGTGTGAAAGATATGCTTAAGAAAGGAGTGTATTCAGATATGGCTGATAGAGATGTATGGAGCACATACTGTGCCGACCCTCCGTAAGGGATAAGGGCAAGTTAATGATGGCCCAGTAGTTTTTAAGTTATTTAAATACATTCAAAAAAAAAAACAAATCTTTCCTCTTTATAATATTATTATAGATTAGCCAGTCCTAATATCCATTCTATTTTTATACTCAATTTTTTTATTGCAAATACTGATTTTATAATATTTTATTCCTCTAATCGATACTTTCTCATGTTAAAATCGTCCCGTCACTATGACATGTGAAAGGAGCAAAAGGCACAGGTCGTGATCTCAGCCAAAATTACTTAATACCGGTAAATAAGGTAACATCTCAGTACAGCATTGGTACATCACTAAAACGCACGCTTGTGACAATTGCACTGCGCGCCAAATTATTTACGCGGGAAAAAAGTTCGGAAGTCTTTTACAAATATTTTGTTATTTTTATACTGGTTTAGTGATTTGTTTTATTTAAGGAATAAAATGCATTATTTATTGTTAATGGTGAGTTTTTTTAATTTATGTGGCGTAGATCTATATTTACTATTATTTATATATTATACTAATATTATAAAGAGGAAAACTTTGTTTTAATAACTTTGATTATAATAAATAGGCTCAAAAACTACTAGGGAGATTTTAAAAATTCTTGCACCGTTAGCAGGGTAAATTATCTGTGAGCAACATAGTAATTTTTTTCATTTCGTTACTATTTTAAAGTTTCACGCGGACGGAGTCGCGGGCAAAAGCTAGTAATATTAGAAAGAGATTTGTATTTGATTTTTGAGATTTGATTTTAAAAATTTTATTATTAAAAAGTTACATTATTAATGGAATAGGGTAATTTTTTTAATCTGTACGGATGGAGTAATCCAAAAGCTAGTAGTCAAATAGTAATGTATTTTTTTAATAATTAAAGCTGCCCCCTGCCCCATCGCTATCAACGCCCATGGCAATAACGTAATTCACCAGGATAAATTGTGTTTATTTTTAAATCTTGCTATTTATGAACAAGCACGCATGGAATATATTAAAATAAATGTGATTTGAATAAATTATTTTGTTAAATAATTTTAAGTTTGAGGTTAATTTGACATTCATTTTATACCTATACTCATGTACAGATCGCACAGATTAAAAATTGAATACATTTTACTAATCTATGCACTTCAAAACATGTAAAAGGTCGTACAAAGTGACCTGTGTGACCTTCGCAATTGTCAATTAACATTAGAGACAGGCCTTTTAGATTAACAGCTAAAGACGATATTCAAACTCGAATTTTACTTATAATCTTACTAATATTATAAATGCGAAAGTTTAGTTGGTTGTTTGAGTTTGTAGACTACACAGCTGAACGAATCTCGATTAAATTTGGCAACGACGTAAAGGATAGTCTGGCATATAGGCAACTTACTTTTGTTTTTTGTTTTAAATTCAAAGCTAGTCTTATATGTTTATAGTTTGTAATAAACTAGCTTTCGCCCGCGACTGTGTCCGCATGGCATTAAACAAAACTAAGTAGTAAGTATTCCAGGCTATCCTCTACATATGACGAACTGTATCGAGATTTCGAGGCGTTTAATTTCTATTTGAACAATCAAGTGATGTTTATTTTCTTCAAAATGGGTAGGAAATTAATGTCCTCTAGTACAAACTAGTATATACAAATGCATTAGGCAATCAATAATGAAGTGCTGACATTATGTTGAATTAACCTTACACTATTGAAATGTTTATGAATGTAGTCACGATATAATTGAACAAACAAATAATAAGACATTTTAAATGTGTTTGCTTTTGTCCTCGTGAAATTTAAATAAAATTAGTAAGTATATGCGTTCTTTCAAATTATCCTCTACATCTGTGACTTTGATCGAAATCCGTTCAGCAGTTTAGGTTACAAACTCTAAAAAATACATCTAAACTTTCGCATTTATAATATTAGGAAAATGGGACATGTCGTCCTATGTTTAGATTTAATTATAATGTAAAAATGAGAGGAAGAATTCATTGCACCAATATTGTCTATACTAATATTATAAAGAGTAAAGAGTATTTTGTATGTATTGAAATTTTATTTTATCGATTTTAAGAATTCTTACACCGTTAGAAAGATAATTTATTTGTGAGTAACATAGGCTACGTTTTTTTTAATTTCACACGGACGCAGTCGCGGGCAACAGCTAGTTTTATATAATTTGGGATTTCAGCGCGACCCGACTGACTATCTGCCGACAAAGTAATTTGCGAAAACCCAAACACATTAACATCCTCTTTAAAAATTAAAAACAGCGCCATCTATTGGTGAGATTGAAATGTAATTTACTTTTATTTGCAGCTCTTCTCAGCGGGTTTAGTGTTGTGCCAAGATCACATCATCAGAAACGACTTTGACGGCCCACATCCTGATGGCTCTTACAGATGGGCTCTGCAAACTGGTATGTGTTTTATTTATTTCACAATAATCTATCATAGGCTGTTTTTTTACTATTTTTTTAATTCCAAGCGGTCGAAGCCGCGAGCAACAGCTACTGTGATATATCATAATAAATGTCCAGAGGGTGGTATCTATCACGAGCAGCGTGGTGAACAGCAGCCGGGGCTGGTGGTGGAAGGCCAGTACCAGTATACCGCGCCTGATGGACAGGTCAGTTCTTAAGTATTCTACTGGTACTATTGGCTTACATAGACGTAATACTGTGTTTTAGCAAAATAAACATACTAATAACAGCTACAGAAAATATAGTCAATTTAGTTATAACAAAAATTTTGAATAATTTAAAATTTGAAGGATTTCAAAATAAATCCTTAGAAAAAATCGACATTTCAGTAAATAATGGGCAAATAAATTCGTTTTAATCAGAAATATTTAAAACGAGACCATATTACGAAAATATATGGAACCAATATCCTTACGCATATAAGAAAATTATGGAGTAGAGAATAGAGTAGTAGAGAGAGAATAGAGTAGTAATAGTAGAGAAAATGTTTCGTATTGATGAAATATTTATTATAAATTTATTTTCATTTCCTTATTTCACTTAAACGATTATTAAATCAAGAATAACGCCATCTATTTTTGAAAGCTAACATCAAATTGCTTTACTCCCACAAAAATAGATGGCGCTTTTAAATATTTGTACAACCGATTATTTCTCTATCCAGATAATCCACGTGCTGTACAAGGCTGACGAGCACGGGTTCCACGCGGAGGGGGCGCACATACCTACCCCTCCACCTATCCCACCCGCGATACAAAGGGCGCTGGATTACCTCGCTACCTTACCCCCTAACACCCAATAATACCTAAGTCTGCACTTTGATTAGTGCTAGTTAGTGAGAATTTGTCTTTGGTCATGTAAGAAGATTGGAATGTTTTAATTAGACATGAATAAATTAGCTTTGAATCAGTTTAACATAAAGAGTTCAAAAATATATAGAAGAGACTTAGTTAACACTTCACTTGACATTTTCATCGCGCCATCTATTGATTGATCTCTGAAAACATTATTTAAATTTATTGCCACTAGATGTCATTAAATAATGTTCACATTTTATTAACACTTTGTAAACTGTTTAGTTTATTTTGTAACAAAAGATGAAGCTTATTTTAATTTTATAATTTTTTTTATTACATGTTAATACACAAAGATGCACTAAACTTGACAACTGGTATAGTACCATTCAGAGAAAGTGAAAATAATGTTGTTAACTGCCTCGTCTATATATTTATTAAATGTCTGATTCACTGCTTATTTTTGCATAAATAACTTGCATCTAATCAAAGAAAACTGTTTAGTTTAACTACCTCATGTTATTAACACTAGTCCAAGTGAATTAAAAAAATGTTTTAAATATGACCACTGTGTTTTATTTTGTAACCCCTTCCCAAACACTAGTACAAAAATGTCATAATTTTCGCTCAATATTTAGTAATGTCTTAATATCAAGGTCAAGAAAAAAAGAAATAAAACTATTTAAATGCATAAAATCTTTATTAAAGAGTTAACAAAATGGCCGCAGGCCGTGAACACACTGTGCAGATCTAAGACGTAAGTGATATAAACAATCTTCTTGATTCTTCTAGAATTCATCGTGGAACGGATAATCGGGATGGTGGACGCTGAAACAGAAAAAAAAATAATTTTAAAACACAACGTTACATGTATTAAACAGACTTACAAAAACTCAATTCTGACAATATTAATATCCGACCAAAACTGGTTTAAACCGAAACCAAAACCGAACTTTTCGGCCGAAATCATAACCGAAAACGCATTTAAGATTATAAGAATTTATTGAAATTAAGTATTTTTTAAAACAAATTTTAGCATGTTCATGGTTTCATAATCGACAGATCAAAATCATTGTAATTTATGTAAATTTACGTAAAAGAAATGACAAAAATAATATTTTTCCATTAAAATTGACTCCTGACAACGCATCAAATCATGAAAACTTTATTTTTTTTACCCTCTTAGTTTAATAGCGTGAAAATATATACCCTAAAGGGCATTTTATTAAAGAAAGAAAGAATTATCCAAAAATATACTGTAATTGCTGACATCCTACGCCAGAAATTAGTATGTTTACACTTTATTATATAAGTATAGAAGTATAAATAAATAAAATAAATAAATACTCACTCTCCCATGGAGCAGAGTCTGCCGCTGCACTCGAGTGCTGCGACACTCTGCACCTCTTCTGGAGACAGCTGGAAGTCGAACACCTGGAAGTTCTGCTCGATACGAGATTTGGTCACTGACTTTGGGATAACGATCATACCTCGCTCGATCGCGTATCTGGAAATATTAGTATTATTTGTAACTAGTTTTCGCCCAAAACTCCGTCAGCGTGTTATTAAAAAAACAAAAGTGAGTAGTCTATGTGTTCTTCCAGACCATCCTCTACATCTATACCAAATTTTATCGATATCTGTTCAGCTGTTTAGGCTACAAGCTCTAACAAACATCCATCCATCTAAACTTTCGCATTTATAATATTAAGTAAAGTAATATTGTAGATGGCGTTGGTACATATAGAAAGAGATAACGTAATTTAAAATGAGTGTGTTTGATTTGATAGAAGTTTCTAGGCATTTTATTTAAAAATAAATGAAATGGAAGAAATAATTAAGTGGTAAATTTATTTATTTTAGGATAGTAACTAGCATTTTAGAACAAGTACATATTTTTTTGTTAAAATAGGGTTTTAAAAAACTTTACTGTAAACAGATTATTTCATATATCTTACCTGATGAGAACTTGCGCGACTGTCTTGTTATGTTTGACAGCGACAGTCTTCAGTCTCTCGTCCTCCATGAGTGTGGGGTCTCCTGGCTTCGCCCAGGGCCTGTCGGGGCTGCCCAGCGGAGAGTACGCGGTGACCACCACACCCAGAGAAGTGCAGTAATCAAATAACTTCTGTTGGTTCAAGTATGGGTGGACTTCGATCTGAAAATAGGTTAAATAGATATCAGACATTTAAGAAATATATAGGCACAAGCTGTGGCCGCAAACTTCGGTATCGGTGGATCACCTTTTACGCCATTTTGACAGCGAGGAATTTAAAAAAAGTAGCCTATAATATGGCCGTCTATGTCAGTTACCCATCAGTGAAAGTCCGGTCGAAGTCGGCCCAGCTGTTTCGAAGATTACCCGAAAAAAAAAACGGTTTGCGATAGACAGCCAGACAAAAAAAATTAAAGCAACTTTCGTTATCAGCAACGCAAATACATCATCTTCCTGAAATCTGGATTTTTTCTTACTTATTACAAACAGACACTTTTATTATATGTATAGATGTGAAGGTCTAGATGGCTGTTTGTTAGAGTTTGTAGCCTAAACTGAACGGATCTCGATGTTTGTCATACTTGTAGAGGATATTTTAGATCACATAGGCCACTTACTTTTGTTTTCTTTAATTCTACACGGATAAAGTCACGGGCGAAAGCTAGATCATATATTAGAAGCGAATTTAAAAACCTTTACAAAACTTTTTTACAAGTATTAATTTCGTTAACTTACTTGATTAACCGCTGGTTTTATTCTTGCCGCCTCAATAACTCTGTCTAATTGTCTCTTATTGAAGTTGGAGACGCCGATGCTCTTCACCAGGCCTTTATCCACCAGACCTTCCATCGCCTTCCACGTGTCCACATAGTCTACTGCTGAGGGGATGGCTTTACCCTGCTCGTCGACAGGGAAATTGTCATCACCCTCCTAAAATACAAGAAAGAGCTGTACTTAAAAAAATAGATTGAATAAACGTAACTAATCAAAGTGATTTAAAAAATAAGGTAAATAGTTAACTTGAGACGTTATTAACACGATCCACTAACGCCATCTATTGATAAATCCTCTAAAACATGTCAATATTAATTAATTGTATTCAAATTAATTGTCAATAGATGTCACTAAATTACATTTAAATATTTACATTTTATTTTATCATACTGTGTAGTTATTTTATAACAAAAGATGGAGCTTTACTATAATATAGAAGCGTTGGCGAGATAATATAAAAAAATATTTAAAGTGAAAGGCAGCTATACTTTTGTCCTGTTCCATAATTTTTGTAAATCATCTGATAACAATCAAACTATATATGTATTAAATATTTGATGGAATCGGATTTTAGTCATCTGACAGTGACGTCACTTTAAAGCTATCTGAGCCTCTATCAGCCAGAGGTGGGAAAGGCCCTTACTACACATTTTTTTTTAATTTCTGATACAAAGCTACATATTCATTTGAGTCTTGAAGTTACATTCCTTACCTTGTAAGCTTGTGGCCAATGTATAAGATAGAGGTCTAGGTAATCTAGACCGAGGTCTGTCAGTGTTGTCTTGACCGCGGTCTCTACTAGATCTGGTCGATGGCTCGTGCACCACAACTTTGAGGTTATGAAGACATCAGCCCTGAGAAAAGTAAGGTTAGGACTTTTGATCGTTGTCCTACACTGTCTTGTCAACATTCTCTTACTGCTAAGTCAGTAACAATTTACTGGCAAGTGTATAAACGCCAGTAGCTGGCGTGCCAGTTATGTTTCCCGACCTAATGTTCATCACATGATAGTGTACAAAGGTACAGTTGTGTTCGTAATTCAGATACGCTACAGTCGCTCTTGTTCTAGGTACAGTCAACAAAATTACAATGTCAAAAGTTTATCAAGATTTGTTTGTGTTTGCGACTGTACTGTTTTGTACAAGAGCCTTTTATATAAATCTATACTATTATAATAAAGCGTAAACACACACTTCTTTGTTGCCTAAGATGTCAGCAATTACAACATATTTTTAATCATTCTGTTTGTAATAAAAAGCCCTACACTTACGTCACGCTTTAGGCTATATATTTTCACGACATTAAACTTAGGGGGTAAATATTTTGGATAAAAACCCTAATGTGGGAAAGAGACCATAAGTTGCTGCTAACATCAAGGAAGGAAAATTGCCATGCTTTGTCATCATTTCATGTCTGTCATAATAAAACTAGCTGTTCCCGTGCGGCTTCATCCGCATGAAATTACAAAATTTTATTTTAAGGTAAACATTTGTCAAATTATCAATTACAAATGTCAAAATGACATGACATGATGAAAATCTTACTTCCTTGATGTTGGCAGCAACTTATGGTCTCTTTCCCACATTAGGGTCCATCCAAAATATTTACCCCCTAAGATTAATGTCGTTAAATATATAGCGTGTCTTAACTGTAAGGCTTTTTATTAAAGAATTATTCAAAAATATGCTGCAATTGCTGACATCCTACGCCACGAAGTAATGTGTTTACGCTTTATTAGTATAGACGTAGATTTGACATAGTTACATCAGGAAGTCTTGACGCTGCGAAAAGTTGACACAATGTGTCACGTTTTATTAGCATGATATTATTTTAACAAACGCTAACATAATTGATCACACATTCAAGGTTTTACAAGAAATTTTACACAACTAAAAGTGGAAACATATTTTGTATGGTCTTTTTCCATCTACGTGGCCGTAAAATTTGCTGTATAATGCTTCGAAAAATTTACTAAAAGACGCCAATAATGTAATAAAGTTGCACTAATGTGCTGCCCCCGCAATACAACACAGAAGACAGACGTGAAGTGGGAACAATTCCGCGTACAGTCTGATGATTGGACGTGAGGAAGATCTTATTTAAGTCCTTTTTTCGCTGCGTTTCATGATAAGGAATGGGAAGGTAAAATGACGGTGAGGAAAGGCCGTACTTTAGCCCCTTTCCCTACCATTTCTTATAAGATAAGAAGGGGAATGGAACGTAGATTTGACGCTGAATGAGACGCATAGACAGGGGAAATAATCTTCTTTATGTGCGTTTTCTCTGACGATTAAGGGAAGGCAACGCATGCGTTATTGCGAAAGTTTATGGACAGCGGTAGTTTCAGGTCGTCGCTTGCTCGAAAAAGGATAATACGCTATTTATGTGCATTCGTTGATTAAGGTTAGGTAACGCAATAATCTATGGACAGTCACTTCGCTGTTTCGGCGAATTCAGGTAACCGCTTAGCCCTATAACACCAAGGACAATTTGAAATCAAATACAACACTAACCTCGTATCGATCGCTTAATGCACCGACCTTGTGGAACGTCCATTATCTTTGCATATTTTATTACCAAAGGGTTTTATTGAAACAATGATTGTTTGCTTTTATTAAGAGCACGCGCACACTTTCGACTAAACTATCGCACGACTGGGTAGTCGCATTATTCCTACGAGCATATATGGAGGTGACACAGTCAGTGGGGACGTATAGTGTGGTGATGATGCTTCCTAATCATACTAATATTATAAATGCGAAAATTTAGATGGATGTTTGTTAGAGTTTGTAGCCTAAACAGCTGAACGGATCTCGATGAAATTTTGCACAGATATAGAGCATAATCTGGAAGAACACATAGGATACTTGCTTTTGTTTTTTTAATTACACGCGGACGAAGTCGCGGGCGAAAGCTAGTCTATCTATACATGTAATAAAATTGCAGTGTCTGTAATATCAAAGGTAAAATACCAGATTTCGGGAACATGGTGTATTTGCGTTACTGGTAACGAAAATCGCATTAAAAAAACATTCTCTGTCTGTCTGTCTGCAAGCCGCGTTTGTTCCTGGTAATCTCCGAAACGGCTGGGTCAATTTCCCATGGGACTTTCACTGGAGGGTAGCTGACATAGACGGACATATTATACGCAACATTTTTTTAAATTCCGCACTGTCAAAATGGCGACCGGACCGCTATCTTAGGAACGGGTGGACCGATTTGGACGGAACTTTGATTGGAAGATAGCTGACATGGACAGGCATAGTATAGGCTACATTTTTTTTTTAATTCCGCGCTGTCGAACTGGCGACCGGATCGCTATCTCTGGAACGGGTGTACCGATTTAGACGGGACTTTGACTGGAGGGTAGCTGGTAGAAGGTCCACGCGGGAACATGATAGATGACTTTTTTTAATTCGCGCTAACGTAATTTGCGTGTGACAGCAATGATTAATAAATCATTCCTTACCTCTTAACAACACCCTCGTCGAATTTCGCCTTTAAAGCTTCGCCAACCTCTTTCTCGTTGCCGTAAATGTGGGCGCAGTCGATGTGCCTATAGCCGATGTCGATCGCATCTTTGACAGCCTGCGTCACTTCACCGGGCTTTGACTGAGAACAGAGCATACTAAGATTATAAATGTGAAAGTATAGATGGATGGATGTTTGTTACAGTTTGTATCCGAAACGGTTTAATGGATTTCGATTAAATTTGGCATAGAGTAGAGCATAATCTGGAAGAACGCATAGCCTGCAATCCAGGGAATAGTTACGGATCCCATGGGATACGTTAATTTTTTGATACTTACTCGATAATTTCTACAACGGTTCAACGGTTGAAATTTGGCACAGATATAAAACAAAGTCTGGAGTACACATGGGATAAGGTTCATTCCCGATAAATTTCCGGTTCCCGAGGGATAAGTAGCTTTTTGTTATTTATACAGTTTGTATGTTTTCTAATACCACGCGGACGAAGTCTCGGGCAACAGCTGGTAAACAATGAAATCTGTTAAAGGCTTTTCGAGTTACTTTAATAAAAGTAAAATTGGTAACTTAAGTTGCCTTCTAGAGCTAGAGATAACTTGGGTCAAGTCATATTTTCGACCAAGGAATCTGTATTTAGTTAATTGGTGGCAAACGATCAAGCGGCCACCTGAATCCGCCAAAATGGCGAAGCAACCGTTGCCCATAGACGTCCGCAGCTGCATATGCGTTGCCCACCCTTATCTGACAGGTGAGGAGACGCACATAAAGAGGATATCTCCCCTTCCTATGTATCTCCTCCAAATAACTTCCCCTACATATCCTCTTCTTATAAGAAACGGGTGGTAAAAAGAAAGGGACTTAAATTAGGCCTCCGGCACAACACTCACTAGACGAAACACGGAATTGCTTCCATTTCACGCCTGTCTTCTGTGTGGTCGTAGTATTACTGGGGGCGTGCCCTGCACTGCTAACATGTTAAAGCGGGCACTACCACTGTTAATACTTTCAGGGACGTCTTTATATTTTTAGATGCTCTAAAGGGTTTTAAATTCTTGTTTTTTTCTCGTATCTGTATTTAAAACTTATTCTTTGTTAGTTTCGTATTAAGAGAATCAATTGTATTGTAATTTTTTTTTAAAATATCATTATCATTGCAATTACTTTCCGTGATGCAAATGACGTTTATCTCGTTTTTGTCAGCATGCTTTTTAAAATTCGTATTTAATTAACATTAATTTATTTATAATCTGCATCCAAAATAATTAACGAATTAAATTATACATATTTATTATTTTTTAACCTTGAGGATATACAATAAAATTAAAAACATTTTATCCTTATACTACTACTAACGTTCGCCCGCAATGGAATTTAAAAAAAAAACAAAAGTGAGTAGATTATCAGAAATAGCATAGATTATGATAATGTAGGTAATCAAATTAAAGAATGCAAATTAAAAAAAAACTTACCCGACTGACAGAGGGTAATTTTTTCACGCGTGTAACTTAATTATAATAAACCTCGACTTCCCACGTGAAATTAAAAAAAAATGTAGACAATGTTACTCACAGATAAATTACCTTTCTAACAGAAAAAGAATTTAAAAAATCGGTTCAGTACTTTTCGAGTTATTTCAATACATAAAATACAAATCTTTCCTCTTTATAATATTATATAGATTAATTAATACCTTCATTATAAAAGAAATGGTTAAAAAAATAAAAAGTATTTGTAACTACAACTGCATTAAAAATTAAAATAAGTATTGGCGCCATTGTTAATGTTGGCATCATTTCAACATTTTGCCTTCCCACTACCGTCATTAAAAAATCAAAATGTCAATAGAAAAAGAAACACGTTTGCCGTTAAAATTATAGGTTATAAAATGCAATCACGAAATGTTAGTTTTATTGATTTAATATAATTGTCTACTTACTTTCCATGTTCCTAAGCCGATGATGGGGCAAGTGTGGCCATTGTTGAAAACAACCAAAGGCACAGCTGTCATTTTATATAAATAAAGTTTTAATTAAAACGACAAAACAAAATAATAAATTAATATTTGCAAGCAATGCTTCGCCGGCGACTCTCGGATCAAAACTGTTTCGCGTGTGCGTTTGAACTATATTTATGCGGGTACTTTATTAAGGTTGAGTTTCACTGGACATATTTTGAATAATTTAATTATTTTTTTATAA